AATTTTAGAATTTTTAATCGACTGTGTCGTCTGCAACGACTATGAGATTTGCCATGGGATATAAATGAATAATGATAGATATTATACTAGGTACGTCAATATGATGAGTCCACGGATATCATATAATGCAACTTTTTATATCAAAGAGTTCCATGTAAAGGTCCCCACACACTGCAGCGGTGGTCACGTTAAATTCTATTGTCTTGGCTTCACCGCCGCGGTGAGCGGTGAAAAGTGTCCTACAGCAATTCACCGCCACCGCCACCGCTGCAGTGTGTGGGGACCTTTAAGGAACAATATATTTTGTTCGTTGAAATTTTGTATGACAAAAATCAAAATAGTTTATAATTTTGAATTTGAATTATAATAATAGGTATCAAATATGATATATTATTTGAATTATTATTTTCGTTTATTAATTTAATTATTTATTAATATGGTGAATAGGTATTTGCAGAAGTACAAGCATATTTTTATTAAAGCTTATTGTATTTTATAAATCATTAAATAAAAATGTGATTACTGGATTTTAGGTAACATAAAGGTATACTTAGTAAATTCATCAAATTTACAGTATCGGCTATAATACCAACTAGATTCTAAAATTTCAAATCTAACATTTTCTACGAATACTGCTGATCACAAAATTATTAATTAATAATTATTATTCAATATTATGAAAATTTTAATTGTATCGGGGACCTATAATTTGTATTTTAGATTCTGAGTGGAACGATGAATATTTTGATTTTACTATGATGTGTATTTAATTTTTAATTTTTTTTTTATTATTTCTTTGTTGTGTTTGATGTGTACCTACACGATAAGTAGGTAGTCAAATTCGACCTTCATTTTCCATGCATAATATATTATAGGTACTCCGTATGTAATCAATGATCATATTATTTATTTTTAATTCAATTTTTGTAGAAAAGTGTTTTGTGTAGGCATAATAAATGTTACATTAAAATTTAAAAAATTCAAAAATTAGAATATAGGCACTACAGTTTCCAGCTTCTACTACAACATTACGTTATATTATGTTTTTAATTATTAAAATGCCTAAAAAGTAAACGTAAATCCCAAAATAATATGAAAACAAACTTACGCTGAAACATCGACTCTTCCAGTGAAACCTAGCTAGAGTGCATCAACAATGCAAACGTCCAGTACGTGAAGCCACCGAAAAAACAGCTATCTTCATCCGTCTTCATCTCGTTCCGAACTGGCGAACTGTAACTTGAAACTATCGAAATATTTCATGAAAATTACCTGAACATAACGAAATGTGCGAATTCGTGTTAAAACTTACATTATAATGTATACTGCTTAACGAACTATCTGTATATTATATTGATGGCTTATTATTTTTTTTTTTCACTAAAATTATTAGAATTGTTAATAGTCGCAGACGAATATCGACAATTGGCGATTGCCATAGATGATATAAAATATATTATTTAATATGATAAATCCATAGAACTTCTACACTCAACACACATACACGGTCTATTGAGTATTGATACGACCTGACACCCTGTGTTCTTTTACAGAAATCTTTGTGGTCTGCAATGTATTCTTGTTTTCTATTTCAGTTATTTATCGTATAGGTACTAAATTTAACCAAACTAATTAGTCCACAAGTTTATAGACATCACAAATATATACTATAAATAGAGTATATTATTATAATTTATATACACGAATACACTATGACACTTTTAAATGTAATTTTTTGGGCAAAAATGACTATAACCTACTGCTGTACTAATGCTTAATAATCTGCAGTCTGCACTTTGTTCCGGTGATTTTACACGTATAATATAATAAAATTGATACTAGTGATTTGTACCCGATTGTTTAATTCAATTATTTACAAGATTTCAATAAAAAAATATCTATGAAGTATAAACATCCGCATTTCTATTAACTATAAATTCTTAATAAAATTGTATGAGCCATACATATTACATATATTTTTCGAAAAAAATTATTTAATGTCTCACGGGTTGATCTAGCAACTGACTGCTACGACAACTGTACAAAAAATTTTTTAAGCATAATCCGTTTTGATAACATCCAGAAAAGAGTTTGTCTAAAGACTGTCTGTCTTGATAACAACTAATTTAATTTAAAGTGTATTATTATATTATATTAATACATTTGAAAAATGCTCATGGCTATAAATAGCTCATAAATAGTCAAAATTGTTTGAAAATTTTAACATACAAAGTACATCAACAACAAAATATTTAGTGAAATTTCATAGTCTAGCTATTTGTTTTGGAAACAACACAATCTCAAAAATCGATTAATGGTTTTTCAATCATTTGCCATTAATATCAAATAACATAAAAATTAAAAGTATGTTCAAACGCTCATAAAAAAAATGAATGTTCCGTTTCAGTAAACTTTTTTTTGTTATAGGTAGAAAAACTTATGTGAATTCTTTTATGAACATTTTTAATTTTAGGTATGAAAATAAAATGTTTGTATTTCTAACTGAAAAATAATTTAAACAAAAATATTTAAAAAATATCTCATGGCTATAAATAGCTCAAAACATCCAAATTGATCGACAATTTTACCAGGTATGGAAAATTGTCATTTTAACATTTGGTGAAAATTTTGAGTATCTAGGGTTATTTTTTTTTGAATTACACAAAAATAACAAAAATTAATAGATGAAGATTCGTTATCTTATACTAATGAATATCCAATATTGTAATCAATTTGAATTCAAATGCTCATAAAAAATGTATTTTACTTTCCGGTAAACTTTTTACATTGTTTAAGGTAGGAAAATTTGGGTGGAATCTTCTATCGACATTTTTTATGTAAGCTTTGAAAGGGAAAATTTTTATAAATTTCTAAATGAAAAAAAGTTGAAAATTTTCATAATTTTGATGAATTTAGTTAAATTTTGAACTTTATAAAAAATAATCGTGCCTTTAATATTTTCAACTTACATTAATGAAACTTTAAGGAACATTGAATTCAATTTTCAAGTTTTTTTACTAAGTGAAAAAGTTTTTATGAGAATAATTTAAATATTTTTTACAAATTTCAAGAAATTTCTCAAGAGCTCAAAAAGAGTCACAATATTTCAAAAATGTTGCCATTATTGAAATTCTTATATAAATATTTGGTGAAAACTTCAAAGGTTATTAGTTTTTGAGTTACACCAAAAAAAATTGAATAATTATTGGTCATTAGTCATTACATATACAAAATATCGAGTTTATTATTCATTCAAAATATAATATAGGTATATTAATAAATTATAATGATTTCTCAGTTTAATTAAGTATCAATAATATACCTAACTACTCTAGGTATTGTTAAGAGTATAAGACTACTTATTAATTTCGTCACGTAAATCATTTAGTTAAATTGTGCATCACATCGTATTTTTATGCTTCAGACTTATTTACGCTGACTTTTTGGTAGTCTACCGGCACAGCATAAATGTTTCTTTAGATTTCAAAAATCTATGGACAGTCCTTTTGCCGTTAACCTGGACCACATAGTCGTTATCATGGATGTACTTATTGAACACTTTTGACTTTCGAGTTATATTTCGTGTGAGACACACAGGAGACAAATGTTAGTGAGGCAGCCGCCAGCCATCCCTTAAATAGTAAATACTTATCAGAAATAATTATTTCAGGGGTTTTTTCCGATTGTTGAACTGAATTACGTCATAACTTCAGTTAAAGCACAACCGATGTACTCATGTACTTTTATTATGCAATAATATATAAATTATTTTTCCTAATATCCATAAATTAATTCAAAATCTCTGCACATTACCAGTATGGAAATTTCAACAGCCAGATCCTTTTTTACATTAAAAAAAATTGTATATAAAAACTTTTTTTTGTTTTTAATTGCACAAGTACAATAGGTACGGTACATATTTTGAGGTTTTTAAGGACTAGAAGTCATTAGAAAAAAAGTTGGTTGTTGATTAATAAACATAATATAGTAAAATATGTAACATTAATTTTTGTATTTCGGCTGTATGTATCAAGAAATTGAATAAATAATCAAAAATATTTTAATATGCAGGTATCTAGTTCCATGTCCACATAAAGAAATTTCAATTATGTGCCTTTTAGTTTTTAGATTACTTTACTGTTATAGTCAGGAACACACACACACACTCTTTTTCAGTCATTCTACAGTATTTCATTAACATGTTTTTAAGAAAAAAAAGTTATAATAAAACAACCTTAGAATATAAATAAATAAAATATTTATTTAAACTTTACCACATACATAAAAACGTTGATTTTGCAAACACATATTTACAAGATTTTAAAAATAAAACAAAATTTTAAACTTTTGATTTCAATATTTTTAGCAAGGCTGGTAAAAATATATATGTATTTGTTTCTTGTACTTGAATACCTCCAATTCCATATTCTAAAACGGATTGGCATTTAAAAGCTTCATCATTAGATATAATATTTGAAACTATTCCGCAATCTAATATATCTTTAAGATTGCTATCATCAAATAGTTCACTTATATTTTGGAATTTCGAAACAAGGTATTAAAGTTCCAAAGCCTTCAAGAGTAATATCAGGATTTTTTCCATACTCTAAGATAAGGAAGCAAAAGTCAACTGCTGGTAAACCTTATATACGAGCTTCCACTCAATGATTGTAAACATTTAAATGTCAAAAGTATTTCTTCAGTAGACAACTCGTTTGGGTATTTACTTATTGCCGTCATTAAGCTTAAGGCCCAAGGGCCAGTTCCTCCATTAGTTGCTGGATGAATCCGAAATGTAGCTTCCATAATTTTCAAGATCAATAACTAACATAAAAACCAATAAGATTATAAATATGGATACAAAAATGTTGGTAATATTTTTAAAAATTACCCGATCCTTTAGTAGACCACATTTGAAAACGACCAAAAATAAATTGAACAAATCCATATTTTTTAAAACTTGCCAATCACTTGTAGAACGTGTACCATCTAGAAGTATTTCAAAAAACCAACGCTTGTGAACTATTTTTATCTTTATGTTCAGAACTAATAACCCAAAAAAAATAAATAATTCCATGTAATCATCAATAGTGCATCAGGATACATACTATGTAGTTAAAAATGTTTTAAATTCTGGAATATGACTGAGACGAGCAGCAGGACGAGCCAAAAGTATTTTACAGCAAGTAGTCTCGATGCCTTTCTCATGATTAGCCATAGCTAAAACCATTCTGCCTAAAAATAATGCTTGAATCATTGACAGCTGAGGAGGAGGTTTCAAATGCAAATCTTGGATGCCTTGTGCAACCCAAGAACTAAAATGATCCCAAAACAAGTTTTCAGCTCTTCTACTGTAAAAGTTTAAAAAAAAATTGTGATAATAAGTGTAAATTGATTGCTAATATTATTATAGTTTACCAAAATAAATGAGATCGCAATAATGTTAACACATGATAGGCAGCTTTTCGCATAAGGCAGTCGTAACTGCTTAAACAAGCCAATACCATTGATAGACAACCATTTCTACTAAACTTTTCTATACTCAATGGTGCTTCTGTGGCCAATAAACTGCTAATCATTGGCAAAAAAAATGCTGGGTCAAACATTTGACTTGGATCTTTAGAGTCTTTGGTGGTGTACAGTACAATTTTTTGGTCCTATAGTGTTTAAATCTTTAAATAATTGTTGCGTTTGATTTGTTTTCATTAATTTAATGCTTACTTTGATGTTTAGAGGTCTGTTAATAGGAAAACATGATATAGTTTCTTTCAGTCTTTTTAAAGGTATGTAAGAAAGCACTTCAGTAGTAGAAGGAAAACTGTTTAATGTTTTTGATATAAGATGGTTTTTCACTTGATAATGTGATATGGCAAATGATCCCCACAAGTAAGGTCTATAATTAGACATTGGTATAGAATTGTCTTCATAATGAAAAAGAATCTAAAATCATAAAAATGTATAAAAATGACCAATTAATCATTTTAGTTTTTAATAAAATAATTTACTCTGAGTATTATTTGATCGACAACTGATAATGATGCATTGTATGAGCAGAGGAAAAGTGGAACATGACTCAGAGCCATTATGGACGGTTCTTTCTTAACTAAGGTTTCGATCAATCTCAATACTTCTTCTGCAAGTAAAAAAAAATTTTGATTCAAAATTATTTCAAATAAAATATTAATATTGTTATACTTTATGGCTTCTAAAAATTATTAGGCCATAACTGTGTATTCTTTATTGAAGTCTTTGATTTCTAAGCATTACTTGTAAATTTGTAATCAATTAACATTAAAAATAAATTACCTTTTTGAATTTGTTTGGCGGCCCGATTTAACATTATATTAGTGAATTGTGAATATCCAGCAAGTAATTCAAAAGTTTTTGATAAAATAGATTTATCTATATTAGCTTTTTTAACTAATTTTCTCAAGACTCTAATAAAACCATATTCCGGGTTTTCTTCTACTAAACCATACTTTATGGCTTTCATAATTATAGCATCCCAATCACTAATTTGTATTGGACAGTTAGTTTCTAACAATTTTAAATTATTAATAATTTGATTAGATAACCAAGCTATATCATCACTGAAAAAAAAAAAAACATCAAGTAATAAATACATCGTGTTAAACAAAATATAATACTATGTATTCAATAAAAAAAATTATTAATTATACCTTTCAGGAGGCAAAGAGAAAAGAGCTGTAATTAAAAACTGAGTAAATTCTAGTTCTTTATTACATTTTGCAGTAACTAAATCCACAAAAGAAACTGCTGTTGCTGTGATTTTAAATATTGACCAGTTGGTTTTTAGTTTTGTAAATAATTTAGCACATTCATCTTCATCTAAAGAGCATTAAAACATATTAAGCAACAACATAAATGAAATAGAAACTATATATAAAACTACACTATTTTAAAGTGATGGATACTCAAAATACTCATAGGTTTATTGGTTTTATAATTTTATTGTACAATATTGGCATTTATTTTTTTATTGTACAATATTGGCATTTATTTTTTTATTATTGTGAAAACAATCAGTGGCGCCCAAGATATATTTTTCAGGTGTAGCAAGAAATAATTTTACCCGCCCCCTCACGAACTCAAAATTATATTATTTTATTCATACATTTTATCATATTTTAATTGATAATATTAGTAAATATTGAGGTATCAATCAATATAATCTGTGACTAATAATGAACATATTCCAAGTTAATTATTTTATGTTATTATACCTACCCACCCCTTATTTTCAAGGTATAGCGACCGCTACACCTAGTAATAGGGTTGGGCGCCACTGAAAACAATCATTAAATTATACTATTAATATTTTTGTTTATTTATCATAATTTGTCTAATGTTACTAAATCAATTTTAATATAAAACTAAATCTCTAAACTAGTCTAAACTATATTAATGAACAAAGTGCTAGTATTATATTAAATCTAACTGGCTAAATAATTATAACTTTGTTTTTGACACAAATAAAATAAAATGGTAGAAGGAGAAAAAATAGATTAAATAAACATTTAGTTTTTAATAAGGAAGTAATTATAAGAGAAAAATTGTTACAGTTTCTAAGTTATAAAGAGGCTGACCGACTGTTGTTTAGTAGTCATTAAAATATTTTGTATTCTAGTTTAGGATCAAAGTATAAGAGATAATATTAATTTAACATCTAATCAGGAAATTAGGTAAAACAAATAATAATAATAATACATGGCAAGAATTATAATGTTTTTGCCATTTCGATTTAAACAGCGAATAACAATTTATTTATTATGATATACTTTAATCTGCTCTTAATTGATTTCAATGAAAACACAAAAGGCTTTAACATATTATAAAATGTCAGTCTGTGTAGTCTCATATGTTGTATTCATTCATTTTGATGTACTATATTATCCACTATAATCAGTAAAACTAATATTCATTTAATTTAACAATTGTAATAATAATTTTTTTAGTTAAAATGGATCCGTTTAGAAGATCAAGTGTTATTCCAAATAAAGTATGCCATTTATTTGATAAATATTTTGTTTTAAATTTGTTAACATTTTATTACATTTCAAGGATGATTATTTGGATAATGCTCAGACATTCAACCGAACTTCAAAAATGTTTGAAGAATTTCTACATAGTTTTGAACAGTACGATAAGGAAGAACAGCACAAGAGACGTGATTCATCCTCTTTAAGTGACTGTGTTAAGGTACCTAGGAGAAGAGTATATGTCAAACAAAGTTATTTTCCTGTTGATGCATCATTTGTAAAGGCTAATCCAAACCATATTTACATAACTGATGTAAATGGACATTTGTACATTGTAAAGTATAAAGCAGTTAGATGGTGAAATAACTCCATATATTGTTGTTTATTAACTGTTGGTTGTAATAAAGACTATTCATACTTTTAAAATATATTTTAAAAACTATAAAGCATTGATTTAATTTTAAACTTACCAAATTCAATTAAATGTAGACCTATAAAAATATCTCTGTTTTCATTAAACCACTGTGGACTGTCCATCAACATTTTATAAGCATTTATTTTATCCTTCATATTTCTTGTGAGCACAGGATCAAATAACATTTCTGGGATCCTTTGATAAAAAGCTGACATAAGGTAAGTCCATTTTTCTACAGGTAAATTGTCCAAATTTAAATTATAGTCAATACCATTGTGTCGTAATGCCAAAAATAAAACTAAAGGATGTAAGGCTTCTTTTTCTGTGTTTGAAACAAGATGAAAAAATAACCCTATAAACAATATATATATATATAAATAAATAAATAAATAAATACCAAATGATAAATAAAAATTAATTTTTTAGATTACTTTTTGGAATAGATGAAATTTGTTGTGAATAAATTTCAAGGTATTTTAAAACAAGATCCAATAATTCATGGGATACAATATTTTCACAAATATATTCTACAATATCTGTAAATTGTTCATCATCCAGATGTTTTTTGTTTTCAATAAATTCTTTCAATTTTATTTGGTAGTCTTCCATGATAAATTTGTAATATTAATTAAATTGCAATCTATAAAAAAAAATCATAAAATAAAATGTAAAACACAAGTTTAAATTTTAAATGAGATACCTACTTCAACATTTTTAACAAATTATAATAAAAAGGGGCAGTTCTCATTCGAAAAAAAATAATTTGCATCTCTACAGAGTATTCTGCACACAAGACACTTTTTAAATGGCATACAAACATCAAGTATTAGAAAATACATTTAACCCGCCGTTGTTCGTGTCTATGTATTATACTTCATTGGTATTAAAATAACATGGTAAAAAATCTCTTAATCGTTTTTATGATAACATTTAAAATACATATATTTAAATTTTTATCAAGTCATAAGTATATATATATAACATAAATCAATATAATTAATACTATTTGTTTTATACAATTATTTAAAGGTTATTACACTTTCCATAGTTTTCCTGAAGCTAACTACGCGATGGTAATTTTATAACATATACGTTTCATGTATTTTTCAATAAAAAAAATAATTGTTTTACATTTTTTGACAATTTTAAATGTTATTAAAAATGTAATATTTCCACTTTTAGAACATTTGGAGATTTGAAATTCAAAATTCTGTTTTAAGAAATTAACATGATTTTTATGTAAATTTAACAAACTATTACTATGTACAGGTATATAAATATAATATCTTAAGTCTGAACCTATAAAAACAAATAAATAATGTATGGAAATAATTGTTTTTCAAATTATAAAACTACAAAGGAGCAGTTCTGTCTTTAAAACTTTTTTACAATCCTTTAAAATGTGCTTATATAATTATTTAAACTAAATATATATTAGTATTTATATCAAAATGATTATAAATAAAATAATAATTTAGTGCATTAGGTATTCAGATTTTTGTGGGGATTTTAATGCAATTTAATTACGTCATTGTAAAGTATTAAGTAGATTAACAAATGCTTAAAGCAATTAACAGATACAATATGTAAATATGCAGTAGTAACTTAAAAATACCACAGAATGCTACTAGATATTTTTCTTTTACAAGGAAAATGTATGAATCATAAATAAGTTTTTGTTAATAAGAAACCATGAAAACAAAAACCTCAAGAAAAGTTAGACACAAACAAAAAACGTGTATGCATCCCAAAAACATATTTATGTTGAAAAAAGATAATACTCATCACACGACTTACGACAGGTTAAAAATACCAAAAATCATAGGTCACTAAATTATGTCTAAGGGACCATTATATTATGTATTAACAATTAATTACATTTGTAGTAATTATTCTTGAGATCCAGTTCTATAGTATATCAATTAACAATAGTTTATACAAATTAGTACAATAATAACATAAATACATAATTTGTACAACTAACTAAATATTTAAAATATTTACATAATAACGAATAGAATATTGCTGTACCTAGGAATAATAAAGATATTTTTTTTTTCATATTTTTTATGAAACAAAACCTAATGCATAAGACGTGTAATATTAGTATTAAAACATGCCTTAAAATTAAAATTGTCATTTAACCTTAAATACATACATCAATTGTCAAGTATTCAAAGTACAGATCTATAATAAACGTCCAAACTTTAAACCAAACCAATAAATTAACATTTTTTATACATCATTATTTACTCACTTAAAAAAATTCAATTTTACATTTTTAAATATTGGAGTTTAAAATTTCATAGGTTATACCGCGTTGGATAAATAGTAAATACTATTATGATTAAAACCACGATTGTAGATAGTGTATTATCTATGGTCCCGGCTAAATTGCTTATTTATTTATTGTTCTAAGGTAAGGTTGGTAATGACCACAGATTTGCCAACGTCCCCCGTTATCAAGAGCCGCAAACGGTATCGTGATAACGACAAGCCAAGTGTCCCGGACTCGAGACTCGGCTCTCGATTCTTGAATCCTGGAGGTTGATTTTAGAAGTGTTTATAGTTTATACTTCATTTTTTATGCTATCAGACTTTCGGACACCAATAATAATATAGACGATAGGTTTTTTTGTATGTTTTTGCTTAAAATGTACGTACAATGATTAAGTAATAGTGAATTATATATTTTGTTACGTTAATTGTTTTTTTTTGCACGGTCCACGATTGACTGTTTCAAAATGGTCAACCCAATCGAAATACCGTTAAAGGACTCAGACGAGGTATGTATTATTGTTGTTACCTTACCTTAAGACTTTATATATATATATAAGCGATTATACAAATACAAATAGAATTTTAAACTTTATACATTTTAGGTCCATAGTTCTTTGCCAAAATTTAATTTTTAGTGTACTATTTTATAAATATTCTTGTTCGTCATGTTTAAAATTAAAATTAAAAAAAAACACTTAATGTCTTAATTCAATATGGTAGGTTATTGAGATTGGTGTCTTCACATATAAAAGTAATGATAGGTAAATCATTTCATTTGAAATTAATGATAATCATCAGATATAAAGATTAGTACCTACTAAATTGACAATGTTTAGTTAAAACCACCGTTTTTTATTTGAATTATTAAATATTTTCTAATTTTTTTTATAAGGTACAGAAAAGTTTTGAAAATAACTTTTAAATCTTTTTGTTTATAGAGTTAATGTATTAGGGTTTCTATTATTATGAAAAAAAACTACACATAAGACTGCAATGATTACCTCGTGATAATCTGAACATTAAATGCAGAACTTGTATAAGTAGTTAGATTATTATATGTTATTTTGAACTTTTTGTATTTTTAATTTATACGTTTAATTGAAAAAAAATAATTTGTGGTGTTTTTTTTTGTGTATACACGAGTTAAAGAAAAGTTTGATAGAAAAATTATTGATAAATGTATGTTATTTAATCAATGTTAAGGACAATATGAAATATCAGCATTGTGAACTGCGAATAAAAAATATTTATTATTACAATTAACACAGTTTTTATCAAGTATCTTACTATTTTTTTCTTATTTTTATTAATTTAAATTAAACTATTAAAAAAAAAAAAAACAATTTATTAAATAAAACATGTTAGTATTATACAATTCTTATGTGTAATGAATGTGCTAGTAATTGTTTGTTTTGTAATGCTCCATACAAGTGCATTGATTGTAAGTTGGAAAAGGGAGGAACGCATCTTGCAAAAAACCTGTTTAAATTAACTATATAGTTTTAATAATATTAATTTATAAATAAATTATTACCTGAGAGTCATCACCAAGAACACTTTGTACTTATTTATCTGTTTTCAGACATTTCCAATAGTTATGTTGATTGTTATACAATATAGTAGGTAAAATACAATTTTAGTGGGGGGGGGGGGTGTAGTGGTAAAATGAATCTGGACACAATTTACCACCATCGCTGTAGTATGTGGGCCACTGTGGGGACCTTTAATAACATACTTGAAGATGTATGTTTTCCAACAATTATAAAATGTATAGATGCACCATTGTACCTATCATGTATTATTTTATATTATTTTATGTAATTATATAAAAAAAAGAATTTTTAAGTAATAAAATAACTGTATGAATTGTAAAAAAATAATTGCTTTATTTGCTGGTCACATGATCCATATTATTGCCTGTACAATTTTTAATAATAATAATTATATCTAATTCAAAATTCAAATTTTTTTTTTTAGGTTATTGAAATTCAACTTGACAAATTGCCTGAGTATGATGAAGTTCTCGGCATTTTAAAGTCAGAACATTCAAATCTACATATATGGGTCAATTTAGCTGTATGTCTTCTTTAATAACTTAACTAATTTGAACATGAATATAGAATAATTTTATTTTTATAACAAATTTTAGTTGGAGTATTACAAAATAGGCAATTCAGCTGCTTTGGTTAGGTTGCTGGAGTCATCACGTAGTAATGCCAGTTTAGAATATAAGGATAGTGATAAGGATCAAATGAGGGCTTTAGATATGTTAGCAGCATACTATGTGCAAACAGCTAATCGAGAAAAAAGTAAAGATAAACGCCGGGAACTTTTTACCAAGGCCACACAACTTTATACAACAGCAGATAAGATCATTATGTATGATACGGTAAGAACGTGGTTATAATTTGTATCTTGTATCTTAATGTTTTCAAAATTTAATTGAATGTTTTCCAAATTTATAGAATCATTTGTTGGGTCGTGCTTTCTTTTGCTTATTAGAAGGTGATAAAATTGAACAAGCAGATGCTCAGTTCAATTTTGTATTGAATCAATCATCTAATAATATACCAGCTCAATTAGGTAAAGCTTGTATTGCATTCAACAGAAAGGACTACAGAGGAGCTCTAGCCTATTATAAAAAAGCATTGAGATCTAACCCTCAATGTCCTGCTGACGTTCGACTGGGTATGGCACATTGTTTTTTGAAACTAGGAAACATAGAAAAAGCTCGATTAGCATTTGAACGAGCCTTACAATTAGACTCAAAGTGTGTTGGTGCATTAGTGGGTCTTGCCATCATGAAGTTGAATGGTGAAAATCCTGGTGACATTAAATTAGGTGTAAATATGTTGTCCAAAGCTTATACTATTGATACAACCAACCCAATGGTGTTAAATCATTTGTCCAATCACTTTTTCTTTAAAAAAGATTATACCAAGTCTGAATTACTCGCCAGACATGCCTTACAAAACACAGAGAATGAAGCTATGAGAGCTGAAAGTTGTTATCAAATGGCTAGAGCTTTTCATGTGCAGGTAATACTTTTTTTTTTTGGTAATGCTGTTTTATATAATTTTAATATGATACAACTTTTAGAATAATTATGACCAAGCATTTCAATATTATTATCAAGCAACCCAGTTTGCACCGGTTACATTTGTACTCCCACATTATGGTCTTGGTCAAATGTATATTTATGGAGGCGATATGGAAAATGTAATATTTATTCATAACATTTTTCCTATACATCAATAGTATTTAAATGCATTTTTTTTTTTAAATTCATTTAGGCGGCTCAGTGCTTTGAAAAAGTGCTTAAAGCTCAT